TGAGTAGTGTGCTGTTTGTCGTAATTCTGCCGTAAGAGTTCTGTCATGTTTTTGGAAGTGTTAGTTTGTCGCGGATTCGGTAGTCGTCCTTGGGTGGGGCTGCATCTAATGCGATTCAGGCAGCTGATTCTAACATTCGCTTCTGAGGCGCAGACTCATTCTTAGTCCTCTGGATCTCAATGGATGTGGGCATCCATGCCGGCCTCGGTCGTGTCACATGAGTAAAAGGGGTGGGAGGGGTAATTGCAACTGACTGGAAAGTGAGGGTTCATTGCGCTGCCTACAGCTGTTCGACCTGCGTCTCATAATGCTAGGCTCCACATTGTGCAACAGGCTAGATATCAAATCAAAAGTCGGTAATTAGTGGTAGCTGACTGAACTCTATTGAGCAGTTCGGAAGTAAGCAGCATAATAAAAAGACAATTTATCAGCAGTAATATATTCGGAACGAATCATGGCGAATCACGAAATGAAGTATCATTGTGGGGAAATGAAATGCAATAATTCTTGCCATTTCGTTATTTTAAATAGGCGCTTGTACAAGGTGCTCGTCCCAAATATGGCGCACTTGCAAACTAGGCATTTGGGTAGAATGGCATACCTTAATTTGAAGGGTTGGTGAAATCTTTCTTGCTTATTTTTAGCGATGAGGATTCCTTACAGAAAAGAATCAGATCGCCTGCATGAGAGCAGCATTACATCTACGCATCCACTGAAACAGTTCCAGGCGTGGTTTGAAGAGGCAGTTACCTGTCCTGGATTATTCGAAGCAAATGCTATGGTTCTATCAACCGTTTCAAAGTACTTACCTGTTTTTTAACTAAATGGTTAGGTCTGGACGTCCCAGTTCAAGATATGTTCTGTTGAAGGGTTTAGATGACCGGGGTTTTCACTTTTACACAAATTCTGTGAGCCAAAAGGGGCAAGACATTGTAATTGTCTGTTTTTTTTTATTTATGTACTTAGGCGAACAATCCCAACGTCAGTCTTCTTTTCTATTGGGAGC